ATGATGGGTAAGGACTATTTTCCAAGGCCTTTTGGTACATATGTTAGTAAAGAAAATTGCAATTTGGGAGCTGCTACCCTTCTCCTTGGCACAGAGAGAGGGAATCTGTAGCCCTCCAAATGCCCATCATCCTGTGTCATTGGTTGTGGTGAGTAGGCCTGACGGGAATTGCAACCCAACGACATCTGGAAGAATATACATTGCCTACCACTGCTTCAGCATTGCTAGGGCAAGAAGTTAGGAGACCAATCTGTTCACCAAACAAAGCTCTGAATGTAACTGTTTATACATCTTTTAAAACTGGCTGTCTCTAGTAGAAGGCCTTAACAGCAATCTGTACAGAAGGATTTGCTCTCCAGCCTCCAAAAATGAAATATATCTCTATCTTAAGTCTTTACAGAAGGATTTGTGTTTATCATCTGCATTAAGCTGTGTACCGTCCTCCACAAAATAGTTCTGAATGGCAGCAATTTGCCAGAAACTGGTTTTGTTCTTGAAGAACAAGCCATCAAATATTCTAATAGATGTACAATTAAGGAAGAACAGCTGCTCTGCTGACATCAAAGGAGCTCGCAAGCGAATGCTACGGAGGTGAAGTGAAAGGCGAAATAAATAACTCTCAATAACCCAGAGGAATACTTGCTGAGTGGAATGAACTGTACGAACTGAATATTCTCAATTGGACTGTTACCGGTCATTATGCCTCATAGGATTACCAGTCCTTGTAAAAACAATTTTCAAATGTTCTCCCACCCCTTCAAAGTGACTTGAAAATCAAACTCCACTTCTTCATCTCTAAGCTTGGTGTTCGCTTGCCTATACTCCAGATGCATCTCTTCCAAAGGACTCACTGCTGTATGTAGGCTAACCAAAGCCTGGCTCTTTGAAAGAAGGTTGTGCTTAACACCAAAAAGATGACAAAGTTGATTCCAGCTGAGCCTCCCTAGGGAGGACATTCCCTAAATGGGGTGCCACAGCTGATAAGGCACTCTTGCTCCTGTAGGCACACTTCCTTCAGTAGGACATCTGGAGAAGAATCTTTGAAGATGACCTATGAATCTGAGCAGATACATAAAAGAGGAAAGGTTCCCTAAGAAAGATTCTTCTAGTAGATTGAAGATGGAGCATATCTTAAGTTCCCTATAACAGCCCCTAGTGGAAATGCCTCAAGAAGGCCAAAATGGGATTATACATTCTCTTTGCTCCATTGAAGATTCTAATTGGCTGCATCAAGGGTAAGTTTGCATGATCCCTTTTCAAACCACGGCATAACTGCAAAATATGTTCTGAGGAAAATCCATCTACATTCTCGGTTTTTGGGCATTTAAGCTCTTAATCCATCTGTGTCCAGATCTTGTACCAACACAACCTTTAAAAGGCTTGAATTGTGAGGTAGGGGTGTGCTCTGTTTGAACAAGTTGCTGTATCAATTGCAGGTGGCTTCTAATATAAGGCAGCAACAAAAGAAAAAGCAATCAGTGATTCTGGCCTAGAGATATGTTGAAACTACCAATTTCAATATGTAATTGTTAGTAATTATGCTCTACTTAAAAACCACATGAGGTGTTTTATCAGTAATGTAATGTTGCTACCCACCTATTCCATGGAAGCAAATTCTGGTATCCATCGTTAATAGAAGACTCTGTGAAACACAGTAACACTCCTTCCATATTCTGTTTGTCTACTTCAGGGTTCCTCAAACTTTTTTGATAGGGGGCCAGTTGAAAGGCAGGGACTACACTCGCAGGCTGGTGGGGGGGGTGGGCCTGGGCATGCAGGCCGATGAGGCGTTGTCGGGCATGCGCAAGGTGGCGTCGGGCGAGCGTGGCGGTGGCTTGCTTGCTCGGAGATCTCCCAGCGAATCCAAAACCATCTCCAAGCGAGCAAGGGCCTCCAGCCCTTGCTGCAAGGCAGCGGTGAGCGCGTGTGCGAGGCAGGCGGCGGCGGCTTGCTCGCTCGGAGATGGTTTTGAACTCACTGGGAGATCTCTCAATGAGTCCAAAACCATCTCTGAGTGAGGAAGCCACCACCTCTCACCCACGTGGGGGTGGGGGGCAGCACAGGCCGGATGAATGGGCATGCCGGGCCGGATCAGTCCCGCGGGCCGTAGTTTGAGGACCCATGGTCTACTTCAATTCTCACAATATTCTATGAGCAAAATTTCAGAGCATCTGAAACTAAAATGACTATTAAAAGAGTTTTATCCTCTGTCAGTGTAAGCGATGCAAAAAGGGCATCCTTTCCTGTTACCACATTTAAGCAGCAAGATTGCTAGGGCTAATCTTACTGGCTTAGAAAAAGACTACAGACTGCCAGCAAGTGAGAACACCAGTTTTACAAGCAGCAACGGAAACATCCAAATCAGCAGCAAGCCAGCAGCTTCCATGCTGCAAAGCATGCTGAGTCAGCGAAATGCCCTGGTCAGAGAGCAGCATGCGCAAGGCAGGCCCCTCTCAGGCACTGGCGGAACCACCACAAACCAATAATGGCCACAGAGGCATACAGCTAATGAAAACCTGGGTCGAAACAAGGGGATGAGGACATTGTGGCTGCGTGTTTCCCTACTCTGTGTGAGATTTAGGGAAGTAAACAGAGCCAGCTTTCTCAGTTTGAAGAGTTCAAGTGGAAGCTCTTGACTGATCTTGACAGAAATAAAAAATAAACTTATCTAAAGCAACAAAGAAATGCCCTTCCTCGATTTGAACCAACAATTTTCCCCAATGGGTTGGTCCCAGGGAGTTCTGCTCAAGTTGCTTCTCATCTGGGGGCCAAGCCCAAGAGCAGTAGACTGTCCAAATAATGCAGTTGGGTGGGAAGGTTTGACAAATCAGTTTATATTTGACCAAAATTTACCCAGTTCTCACCTCCTGAAACTGAATGTGGATCCAAACACAAACTGCTCAAAGTCCATACATTTCCAAGTTCACAATTCAGTTTACAGAACAGCAACAAAGCGTTCAAAGTGCATATAGTTGGAAAATGCACAAATACATTTTAATCAGTAGAAGACCTTTTCAAAAATATGCACAACTGATAAATAAATTGGAGAAAATGTATATGCAAATACACACTAATTTGAGGGTGAAAAAAGAAAGCTAACAATCTGATTTGGAGAGGAGCTGCAATGAACTTCACAGTAGAATTCCAAGAGCCTCAGCAAGTTTGCTTGTTTGCTGTTTCGCGTGTCTGTGGGAGGACTGAGAGATCTTGCATTTTTCCTTTCCATGCTTCTAAGTGTTTTCTAAGTGAAAAGGAAATCCTGTATCTGGTTTGGTTGCATGCACACCTCCCCATAGGGGAAATGTGCAGTGATACCTGGAAGCAAGGTAGGAAGAACTATTCTCTTGTGCAAACCCCGGCTGCTGCTTTATAACTCACAAAGTGCCCCTTATCAGCCTTATCCAGTAGAGCTCTCTCACATTTCTTGGTCATGCTTCCTTTGGTTAGCCAAGTTGGAGAGCCAGTGTGGCGTAGTGGTTAAGAGCGTGGGACTGGGACTCAGACGATCCGGGTTCTAGTCCCCACTCAGCCATGGAGCCAACTGGGTGACTTTGGGCCAGTCACAGACTGTGAGCCCAGCCTACCTCACAGGGTTGTTGTTGTGGGGATAAGATGGAGGAGGAGATGTAAGCTGCCTTGAGCCCTTTGTAGGAAATTTTTTTTTAAAAGTTGTTCCATAGTGAAACTGGAACCTTGCTGGGGTCAGATGCTTCTCATCTTCCCTGCTTCTGTTCTTGTACTTTAACTTCCTTGGTATTGATTCAGCTGATTTTTCTGAAATTGTTCTTTCTATTCTTGCCTATGGGAAGAATGCCTGGTGCCTGCAGTCCTGCTGTGCCAAGCCGGGCTCTCCTCTCCTCCCCTCCCCACTTCTGGGAATTCCATGCTGCAGAAGCGTTAACCCCTTAGCAGGACATGGGTCTCCCTTTTGCTCTGATTAGCAAAGGGAATCTCATTAAGTACCAGATCTCCTGTCCCCTCCTTTTAATAACTGTTACTAGTTCTTAAGAAGAGACTGAAAGTGTTCCACCAGGCACGTAGACATTGGCACTATTGATATAGTCTGATTTTTAGAGTAAAGAAGGTCCTTTCTGGGAACAGTACTGGGAAAGGCTGTGAAATAAGATCACGGTAGACATGGGAGCCACTGCTAGGAAGAGCGTAACTTTTTGTTTTTATTTCTGATGGGAGAAGGAAATGGGCCTGATTTGTTTTGAGAAAAAAGCTGGTGGTGGTTGTTTTGGGAAATTCAAAGTCCTAGACTAGATAGAAACGTTCGATAAATATCTTCCCTAAATCCCAGAAGTCTCCCTGCCAGTACTGTCCAATCACCTTCCAGCCTTCTTCCCATCCCTCTGTGGAAATACCGCCCTGTTCCTTCTGTGGCCTGTACAGTTTCTCTTACACCCCCCTCTGCGCTTTTCCCTTTGGTGGGTACATGTCATCCCATGCATCTTACCCTGAATGTTTTCCCCAGTCCCACTGATGTCCGGTGCATGCACTTGCATTTTGACATGTGATTCTTTCCAATTCTCCTTTGGGATTAACTGGCCTCTCCAGACTATTGGTATTAAGGGCTTTTCACGTGTGAATCTGACAAGTAGTTGATAGCACTACATAGATTGCTACTTGTCTGGGTTTGGGACTCAGATGAGGTTACTCTGTCTTTATACCTGGGGGACCGAAACCCACGACCACATGGGTTCATGGTGATCCTGAGGGAAAAGCTTGTTGTGTTCGGCTCCAAGTCCAAGGCATGTATCTGTGCATGCCACTGCCTCGCTGCTTCTGGCATGCTGCTGCAGACCCCCTTGACGCAGCGAGCGGCAACTTGTCAAAGGCCGGAGAGCCACTCACAGCAGGCCAGGAGCGGCAGAGAGCCACTGCAGGAGGGCCTCCCTTGTACAGCTGCACGTAGAGGTGAAACTTGGCCCTGCTGGGCTTGTTTTTAGGCCAGGGCCACCAATGGGTACACTCAGCTGGTGTTGGCTTTGTTCCAGATATGATCAGCCAGAGATGTGCAGGAGGCAAACACAGTGGAAGCGCTCAGCTTGGCACAGGAAGGGGCACTCTGCGGCTTCGGGCCAACGGACCAGCCACCGTGGAGGAACAGGTCTGTGCTTAGCAAGCCCAGCAATGTCTGTTGGACAGATGAGCATCTGTGTGAAGGCACTGGGGCCTCATTTCCTTCCAAGAGTGGGTTAGAGCAGGTGTCCACAAATCCACGTCCCTGGTCCTCGAGGGAGAGGTGTGCCCGTCCACACACCCCCCCTCTTGAGTGTCTCACCTGTGCTGTGGTGTTGGAGCATCTCTTCCGCTCCGCTGACTCTCACCTTCACCATGCTCTGCCTTCCCTCCAGGCTCTCACACACCCTAAAGAAGCAGAGGGAGAGGACTGGTGGCAACCACCATTAGACCATTACTGTCTAGTACACCTGGCATATCTTTGTGGGCATCTGGGTGAAGTTCTTCTTTGTCCCCTTCACGTTGTTTCTGAAGAGGAAGAGCCTGTCTTAATCCCATGAGATCCAGCCCTGGATGTTCCACCATCCCTACCAAAAGTCCTCAGCACATTGCTGCCACTTTTCCTTACATTAGCACCTGAGCCTGGTCTGTTGCTTGTTGCAGCCAAGCCATTCGGATAGTTTTTTCAGGGACTAGAATGGGAAGGGACCACTGCTGCAGCCTCTCTAACAAGTGTTGTTTTCTTCCACTTGACAGCCATCTGCATTTGAGCAAAAGGCTATTGAGAAGGTTGATGATCTTCTGGAGAGTTATATGGGTATCCGTGACACAGAACTAGGTGAGATGCCACCTCCATTGCTTTTTAAGTTTGTACTAACCAACAGCCTTGAGAGAATGTGGATGATCTAACAGCGGCATCCATGTGGATGCTTCCGTCTCCATTTAATCTGTACACCTTACCTCAAACTCCTGGGTTTTGTCTTAGGAACAGGAGCAAATGCCGCCAGGCTTTTGCATGAGCATTTGAGCTGTTTGGGGGTGGAAGAGGTGCTCATCTCTGACTTTTTTCTCCCTATATAGCTGCTATCATGGTGGAGCTGGACAAAGACAAGCGGAATCCGGATGAATTTGCTGAGGCACTGGATGAACAGCTGGGTGACTTCGCCTTCCCTGACGAGTTCATCTTCGATGTTTGGGGAGCCATTGGTGATGCCAAGGTTGGGCGCTACTAGGACTCTGTGTTCTGCCGGAGCCTGCGGGCAGGACCATAGGGCAGCCCACTGGTGGGCAAGCCTGGCACACCCAGTGTTCTCCCCCTGATGCTGGGCCACCCATCTCTTCTCCGTGGGGCTGGAGAAGTCCTAGAGCAATAAGTTCCCTTTGTCAGTGATTGGCGCGTAATGTGAATGAGGGCCAGAAGCTCTACTGCTGCAGCTGCTTCCCACCTCTCTCAGCACAGGGACTCCCTCGGTCCTGAGTGCCGCCAGCCGGGGGTCCAGGCTTTCTAGGGGCCGGCACGTGGGTCACACGGCAGGCTCTTCCTGGGGAGGTGCAGATGCTCCTTGCTGATTTGAGAGTCTCCCCTTGCACGAAGGGGAGCATAACTAGATCCCCAATTAAACTGGGGGGGGGGGGGGATACATGGCTCTTGGTTTCCCAGTGGCAGCAATCCTGGGGAATCGCACAGCACTGTGTAGGCGATAGATGGGGCGGGGTGGCCTTAGTGTAATTTTGGAGGCCCTGCTAGATCCCTGTGGCGGCTGGGGGAGGCGGAGGCATATGCAAAAGCGCAGCAGAAGCTCCTGCCTGAGGACGCTGCGCCCTAAGAACCTGAGCACCCCCTGCTGGTGCACCTCCAGTCTGGTTGGTACGAGAGAGAGATGGGCAAGTTCCTCCCCTTGCAGTGGGCCTGGTTCTGTAGCAGAGCCACAGCCGTGTGTGTGTCTCTCCGCGTCCTGAATGCACACACGCACACGTTCCTTTGGGTGTGTTTCACTTGCTTTGTGTCCCTTTGACCTTTGTAGCTTTCGGTAAGACTTGGCAGGTGCCCTGTAGACCCTTCTGGCCCTTGGCAACATGCAAACCACAGTGTAAACAAGCTGGGGGGGGGGGTGTAAGCAACTCTCCCTCTTACCTAGAGATGCCCCCCCTTCTTTGCACAGATAGGCAGCAGCTCTGCCCCAGAGCGTCCAGCTAACTGGAGCCACCGGTCCCGTCCCGTAACTGCCAGTGCCTGTGATTGCAATTCCTTCTTCCCCATGCTCTGTTGTCAGTCACTGGGGCATGGATCCAGCCTGATCACAGCTCCCACTTGTCCTCTGGCTAGTAGCCCCCATAAGCACAACTAGTAGCCGTCGATGGCAACTTTGGCTGAAGACGGCACTCGGAACCTCGGCTGTGCTCCCCGCCCGTGAACGCGGGTGGCTTTGTCGCGCCCTCTTTATGCTCTCGCACCCTGTTACTGCCCTGGAGCGAGGTGTGGTTTCTGCTCCCCTCCTTGCTGTCCCACAGCTCTGCAGCTGGGCTGCTCGCCCTTGGCGACTCCTGCGGTTTGAGTACTGCGAAGGCCGCCCCACCTGCGGGTCACACGGTGTGAGTGCTGAGCCCGCCATGCCAGTGGTGCTTCCCCCACAGCTGCTGGAGAGAAGCTGCCCTTACTGGTGGGTTCTAGGGCGCTCCTCTGCTCAAAGCGCTTCTCGCGTGCAGTTGGAAGCCACCTCCAAGAGCGGCGGCAGCAGCAGGACTCCCTTGCCGTCTGGGATTGGGCACCTCCTGGTCTGTCTCGACTAACCGCCCACTTTGTCATACTGACCTACCTCCCAGGGTGGCCCAGGTAATGTCTGTATAGCTCCCTCTGTTAAATTATTTATAGTCTCACTCTGTCTCTTTCTGGCACACACTCCCCCCTGCTGGGCCTCTGCCCTGCGCTGCATCCCAGTACTGTAGTTTGGGCACAGTCCAGTTTCCCCAGGAGCCAAGAGGGTCTCCCTCAAGTACACCTCGAAGCCCCAGTTTTACCTACTGTACCCCTAAAACACTCATCCCAGGTAGGATGTGGGGCCTTGCTGCCCTTCGTGCCCCACACCTCAAGCTCAGGCGAGGCGAGGCTTCTACCAAGCCTCGCGGCTTTCCTGTGTCCTGCCACGGGAAGCCATTTGAGTAGACCAGGCCCCCTATCCTGCCTGGGCATATTTTTGTATTCTACATGTAAAGCATCTTTAAGATAAAATATATTGACACTACTAAATTGTGTGTGTGTGTGTGTGTGTGCTTTGGGTGCATTGTTGGGGGAACTCCAGCTGGCCATGGTTTCAGCTTCCCTTTCTCCTGTGGCACAAACAGAACCGTATCTGCAGAGAAAGGAGAATGGTGAGATCAGAATGGGGACGTCAGTGTACAGTTCCTTGGTTGCCGCCAAGGAAGAGGAGGGAGTGGCCCAGCAGGCTTGGGTTGTGAGCTGCACACCTCCCAGGAAGGTCGGGGCATCTGTATTCCAGGTCCTGTGTGGTAGAAGAAATGGTCCCAGAGCAATCCATAAGCAATGCGGCTGCAGCTCCCAAGTTCCTGGCCTGCTGTGGGTCCTGCTAGAGGTAATCCCCATATGCCCCGGCCTCAGAATGTGTGTGTGCACCCTGGCTGAGGGCGTGCCTGAAGTAGCCATGAGAGGGGAGGGCCACAGGGACTCTGCAGTTCCTCCTGTGGCGTGTGTCCTTGGCACGAATACCTCCCCGTCTCCTTGTGTGGAGCAGTCCAGAGTTCCCTGCTGCTGCGTGCTCTCCCCACATGAAGCTGAACCAGATGCTGCAGGGTGCAGAGCCAACAATGTCATGTTTATTGGTGCTCTGGGATTCTACAACTACTGCGGAGCTGGATCGTGAAGTATTGCACGGCTTCCCCTTCTGTCCTTTCCAGCATTCGCACGGATCCTCTCCCAGTTCCTCTCATTAGAAACATATCCGAGAGGCTTCAAAGACTGCCCTTTGGGAAGCACAGCCATGCTTCGAACAGAGCTTGACCGGCAGTCTTGTCTGCAAGCCCCTCTACTCCAGCCACTGTAGAAGCCCATGCCGTGTGGGGATCATGAAGGCAATGGACCCTTCCTGTGTCACATGCAGGTGGGAACACAGGTTAGGACCATGACGGCTGCGTCCCTAAGAAGCAACCAGCAGGAACAAACACACCGTCTTGCCAGTTGGAATTGGGGCTGGGAAGCTGAGTGATTTCCCCCCTTGGGAGGCAAGGCACAAACAATGAGGGGAAAGAAGCCAACTCGTTTGTCCCTTATCAGGATGCACGACGCAATTAGCCCGACTTCAGCTCTAAACTGAGATTCAGCAGACCACCACCTAAACTATTTTTCCATGCATCATGAAAGCAGTGTGGTGCAGGAAGTGTGGGAGAGCTCAAGTTATGTAAATGACAGTTCCAAGAGCCCAGGAACGCTCCCCAAACCTGGAAGCAGACTTACTTGCCTGTCCTTTAGTGTGGTTGACCTCGTGAGAGTCTTTGCTTTTGAGCTATTCGCATAATACAGGAAAACATTTGGAAGGATGCTTGCTCTAAAGCCAGCATGACATACGGCGCTGTCTTTGCTTTATACACTGTCCAGTGGCTGGACTTGGAGCTGTTCCTAGCTCCTAGAATTGTTTAAAAAAGCAAAATGAAAGACATAATAGTGTGTCTCCTGCAGGAGGGTGGGTCTCCAATTTAAGATTAAACAGCTGCTTCTTCCTGTGAGATGAGGGTGCCCCTAGAAGGTGTTTCCCTCTTGCCGGAGGCATTTGTAATTAAGTGTTAAGCAAGGGTTTCTTGCATGTCTGCAAAAGTAGTCTTGGTACCTCTTTGCATAGAAAGTTTTGTCTCCCTTGCTGTTTCCTCACACGCTTCACAGCTCTCCCTTTTCGGTAAGATGAGAAGACACCTGGGCCAAAAAGACTTGGCCTAGGCGGCTTGCAAGGACAGGGAAGAGGTCTTTGCATGCAGCAGCTACTTCATGGGAAATCAGCAGCCGCTCGCAGGGCCTTGAGAATGGCGGTGCAAGAGACATAGCCTGCCGCCTGGTTGCAACAGGATGGCCTTCAGCAAAAGCAGGCTCTTGGCAACTGTCACGGGGCCGCCTTATTGGATAGTGCTGAACACTGGCAAGAACATTATGTAGATCAGCTTCGGTGTCTCCTGCTGTTTCATGGCTGCATCTCCCATCATCCCTGATTCTTGATCATGCTCACTGAGGCTGATGGCAGTTGTACTCCAAAACACCTGTAGGGTAGCAGGTTGGAGAAGGCCGATAGAGATGCCTTCTGCTAACCCCGCTGTTACCAGGACCATATTAAAACAAGCCTTTAATTCTGCTTCCGAACACAAAATCATGACTATTGCCTTAGACACTGAAAGTAAATATATACAAATATCAAAGTTCCCCCACTTCTGGTTTATTGTGGGCTATATTTGTTGGACATCGGATTAAGAGTTATTTTCTGGACGCAGCTCTAGTACTGCAATATCCCATTCCCTTACATGGGATGCAGGAGGCAATCCATCAGCGTGCCAGTTCGCAGATGTTGCGGGGGGTGGGGTGGGAGAGGGGCATGGCCTGTGCTGAATGTACCCTGCATGACTGGAGAAGATAAGCATCCAGCCTGGATGTGATGGCAGGATGCTGGTGGAAAGAATTAGGTGGGAATGACTTACCAGATATGCTATTCTGCAGGGACCACAGCGATGAGTTTGTAAATGCTAAATGAGCACACCTGCTGGATTGCTATAATAGGGTGTGCTAAGTCTTTGAACTGGGAATGGGAAGGAAGAGAAGACCTAGTAACAGTGATGAAAGATGACCTCAGCCAATTTGGCAGATTGAAAGTTAATAAATCCATGGGCTCAGACGGTATTCACCTTAAAGTTCTTAAGGAACTCAAAGATGAAATTGCTCTGCCAAGGAAAGTATGTTCCTAAGATCATCCTCTATACCAGAGGACTGAAAAAAATTCAGTGTAACACCAGATTTTTAGAAAGCTCTTGTTATGGATGAATAACTGGTTGAAGAACAGAAGGCAGTGAGGAGGGATAAATAATAAATTCTCCTAATAGAGCTGTGAGCCCCAAACTGTTTTGGGCTGCTGCCCCCTTTCTTCTTGGGCAACAACCATAGCACCCCAACGCCTATTTCTTTCTATGAGGTCTTATGCTCTACTTCAGCCTTTCCCAACCCTGTGCCTTCCAGACATGTTTGGACTGCAAAATCCAGAATACTCAGACCATGTCCCTGCTGGGTGGGAATTCTGGGAGTTGTGGTCCAAATGCCTCTGAAAGCCACCAGGTTGGGGAAGGCTGCCCTACAGCAAATTGTAAACAAACAACCAGTTACCCCCCCCTGGATCTTTTCACCATCCTGGGGGGGGGGGGGAGTACCACCCAGTTTAGGAATCACTGCAATAGAGGGATGCAACAACTAGAGGGATCTGTATTGTGACCAACGCTTTTCAACTCATTCATAAAGAACTGGAACTAGGAGTGAGCAGTGGAGCGGCCAAGTTTGCTGATGACACCAATCTGTTTAGGATCATTAAGTGCAAAAGGAACTGTGATAGGCTCCAAAAGGATCTCTCCAGACTGAGAGAACAGGTGTCAAAATGGCAAATCCAGTTCAATATAGGCAAATGTAAAACAATGCATATGGGGAAAAAATATCCCAATGTCTAAGTATAAGATAATGGGATCAGAGCAGTGATTGGCCAGGAAAGAAATTTTGGGGTTGTGGTGAACAGCTCAATGAAAATGTTGACCCCGTGTAACAAGCTCCATGTAACAAGCTCCATGTAAGGCATAATGACAGAAATGGATAATAACACTTCCAAAATCATACTCATCCTGCCTAAAAAAAACTATTGTAGATTTGGAAAGAGTGCAGGAAAGAGCAACTAAAATAATTGCGGGGTTGGAGCAGCTTCTGTATGAGGAAAAGTTAAAACATCTTGGATTGTTTAACTTAGAAAAAGGGCAAGTAAGAGGAGATAGAAGAAAGATGTACAAAATTATGCATGGTCTGGAGAAAGTGGTGAGGGAGGCATTTTTCTCCTTTTCCCATAATACTAGAACTTAAGAGAGTCATCCCATGAAGCTGATAGGTAGGAAATTCAGGTCAGAGAAAAGGATACACTTCGCACAACACATAGTGAAATTATGGAACTCACTTCCATAAGATGCAGTGATGGCTACCAATTTGGACAGATTTAAAGGGGGAGTGGATAAATTGATGGAGAAGAAGGTTCTCAATGGCCACCAGTTCTGATTGGTTGTAGGTGTCCTCCAGTGCCAGAGATACTATGTACTGCTGATCATGGGTGGGCTTTTGCATTCATACACTTACGATTTTGCTGTGGACAACTGGTTGGCCCCTGTGTAGTCTGATCAACATAACTCCTCATACGTGCTTAAGTCTATACATCCAGGGTATAGGATAGAAGGCTTTTTAAGAACACGAGACTTCTGCTCCATCAGAATACAGAAAAATGTATTCCAGGGGCTTGCTTACAGCTGTGGCCATGTGAAAGCTTCTGGAAGTCCTAACACAGCCTCTCCCAACCTGGAACCATTGGCTGTCCTGACTGAGAATGCTGAGAGTTGCAGTCCAGCACATCTGGAGGGTGCCAGGTTGGGGAAGCATGATCTGGCAAGACAGAGAGGGGACCAGCACTCTGGTGTGTCCCCCGAACCCGAGGGTATGTGTTCCTGCTGCTGTCCTGGTTAGCTGTCATGGTAACAGCCCCTGAATATGCCTTTTTGAAGCAGTCTGAGGTAGCAGCTGGTGGCCTGGTATGGGACAGGTAACGCTTCTGTATAGGCATGCAGAGAGCACTAGCAAGCATTATGGGCTTGCCAGGGGAGGAAGAAGGGAAATTGCTTTTTTGTCAGCAACTCTATTGTCCCATTTGTACGTTTTGTCAGACAGCAAGTGTGCAGAAGTGGTTGGAGGCTTGCACTGGGATGCTGGAGATCTGACCCTGAAGCTCACTGGGTGACTTTGGGCCAGTCACTTATTCTCAAGCTAATGTACTTAATAGGGTAGTGAGGTGGACCATGTATTGGGTTCCTGGGAAGGCAGGGTATAAATGGAGCCATAGCAGCAGCAGCAGCTTCCTGGCAGTTGTAGCTGGAAGACTTTGGCTGGATACTGCCTGAAAACTGAGTCATGCTGCACATTCCTAGTGTGTAAGGAAAAGACCTCCCATTTGGATAACTTGCCTG